ACAATTTAGTTTCAATTTTTTTTTTGTTTGTTCGTGTAATTTGTTTCTACAATTATATATATATTTGATAGGAAATTTCTATTTGGGTGTATACAATATGCACTTTTGGTTTCGATCTCTGTAGCATGTGATTATAATTTATTGTGATATTAATTATGACTCATTATAATGTTGGTTATGACATTATTTTGCTTATGATTCAAGAACTTTTTGATTATATCTTATGTAGTGTTTGGTTATAATTATTATTATTTTTTTTTGTTATAACTTTCATATGATTAAGTTACGGCATGTGTGGTATTCAAACCCAAAAATGTCATAACTTGCAAGCATTACCTTATTTAGTAGCTACATGATGTATTTTTTTTCTGTATTATATGGTACAAATTGTATAATTAAAGTATCATTTGTTTTAAATATTTCTATTTGAATATTAATTTGTTTTTAAAATTTATTTTTATAGAGAAGTGGTTTGAAGACAAATAAAAAATATTGCAAATCTCTCATATAAATATTTACGCTTTTTTTTCCTTCTTTTTATCAAATAATCAAACTCATTCAATTGAACACTTTTATATATATATATATTGGGGTGTGTACCATATGTCCTAGTTACTATGATGTATACTTTTGGTTATGACCTATTGAGGTGTTAGTTATAATTTATTGTGATATTGGTTATAATATTATTTTAATTATGATTTAAAAGTTTTTTGATTATGCTTTATGAAAAATGCCTTAGACCTCCAATGGGGGTGACCTCCACCACCTCCACTGTTTTTTTATTGGCTCAAAATTATTTATTTTTTTATTTTTAGTCTTGCTTTCACAGCCCCCCACGTGGAGGTGGGATGCTGGGGTCACCCCCACTGGGGTCCTAGCACTATTAATGCTTTATATGGTATTTGATTATAACTCATTTTTCTTTAATTATGACTCCTATAAATTTAAATTATGACATTTATGATAATCAACCTCATAAATATCATAACTCCCACATCGTGCACATTCTTTTGAGAATGTATGCTATAGCATTACCCTTAAACATATTCAACTTTTTTCTTTTTTTAATTATAAAATGATATAGAGATTTCTTGTTAAAATAAACTAAAAACAGTAGTTTTGTTATGTGAGTGTTTGGGAAGTGAATTTATTTTGTTAGTTTTTTTAGTTGTAAAATATTATTAGAAATTTTTTTTTTTGTGTTTGGAAAGATAGTTAGATTTTTTTGTGGTTGGATGTAATATTTATGAGAGAAAAAGTGAAATAATTATGGAATTTGATGTGATATTTTGTTTGGATTAATTTTTTTTAATTTTACAACTAATTCATCTTTTAGTTTAAAAAAAAAAAAAAAAAACCAAAAACCAAAACCCAAAAACACAAACACAAACTTCCCGAACACCGCCTGACGGCACCGTATTGTCACCACACCGTTCCCAGTTCCAATGGCATCCCTCTACAAATTTGTGTAATGGCTTAGGAAAATGTTTGAGGGCCCTAATTTCTGTGGCTCAAATGGCTCAAATTTGTCAAAACGACGTCGTTTTGACAAATTCGAACCATTTGAGGCACAAAAATTAGGGTCCTCTATCATTATTGAATAGCTTAAGGGCTTATGGACAACAACAATTTATTTGACTGTTAAGGTCCCAAGATTTTAAACTTTAGAAGAATAAAGAAATATTTTATTTAAAAAAATAATAATAACCTTGCAACCTTTTTTTTTTTTTGTTTTGTTTTTTCCTTCTAAAACTCTCTCCATATGAGGTTCTCTTTGGCCACGTTAATTTGACAAATTAGGTTAAATGAGATTGTTAGTAAGGGGATGACAAGTAAGAGATGGTCAGTGAAGAAATTGTTAATGAGGAAATTGAGTAAAAATGTGTTTGTTTTGGATGAGATTGTTAAATTATTCTTATATAAAACAAAAATATCTATATTTCTATATTAAAAAAAATTCCAAAACAAAAATGAATTTTTTTTACAAATACAGTAAAAATACAGATTGCCCTTGAAAAAAAAAAAAAAAACAAAAGAACATTATTCTGGTCAACTAGCCAAACGTGCAGGTGGACAACTGGATACACTCTAATCTCCTCACTTTTTCAATCCCATCTTTTGCCTAGCCAAAACTAATCTCCTATTCATATTTTTATCAAGTTCATTTTGACAATGAAATTCATTTCCCAATCTCTCACCAATTTGTATATGTTTAACTATTTTGCTTCTTTTCTCTCGTTCTTCTCTCTCTATTATCTCTCTTTCATTTTTTTAATTATTTCTAGAAAAAATTACTCATAAGTCTCATATTGGAAAATGTTACTCAATCTAGTCCTGAGTGTTTTTTTATAAACCATTTAGTCCTTTTTTAACATCACAACATCATCATCAAAACAACATCAAACATTATCATTAAAACAATATCAAACCTCACAACATCAAACCTCACAACATCATCATCAAACAACATCAAACATCATCACCAAAACAACATGGCTCATCAAACATCATTATCAACACATGGCTCATCCCTCCCATTGCAGCGCAATCACCATCAGATTTGGCTAAATTCAAAACCCAATCACATAACATTACTCTCTCTCTCTCTCTCTATATATATATATATGCTATGCATCTAATCCAGATCTCAATCTTCACTCTAATCGCTTTCTACAAATCGATCAGATTTTGAATTCTCTCTCTAATGGCGCTTCGGATCATGTACGGTTTGGTCTTCCTGTCAGTCTCCTGCGCTTGCTTTAAAGCCCTTCACCTTGTTCTTCGCCCCGTCTTCTACCTCACCTTCGGATCTCCTCCGCCATTCCAACTCCGGGTTTCCGGCGGATTTCACTCCTCGATGGCGGTTTTCCGGCTCTCTTTACCTCTCTTCGGTGGCAATTTCTCAGGAAAAAATCAAACATCATCATCAACACATGGCGACGTTAATGGTGATGTTGTGATGTTTGATTGGTATTCTGAATTAGGGTTATGTTGTTTTCTGAATTGAATTGGCTTTTAGGATGGATCTTGATGTTTTGTGATCTCTGTTGGGGGTTCAATTGTTTCCATGTTTATGGGGTTTTCATGGCCAATAAGAGTTCAATTAGGATTTTGCAGAAAATGTTGGTTAAGTGTGACAACAAAATGGGTTTTCTTTGATAGGAGATTTATGGGTTGTATTATTTTTTTGTATCTTTGTGCTCGCAAGAAAGCTTGATGATGGCGATGATGTTCACAACGTTAGTTTTAATTTTGCTAATGTTTGATGTTTTGAGGATGGATCTTGATGTTTTGTGATCTCTGTTGGGGGTTCAATTGTTTCCATGTTTATAGGGTTTTCATGGCCAATAAGAGTTCAATTGGGATTTTACAGAAAATGTTGGTTCAGTGTGACAACCAAATGGGTTTTCTTTGATAGGAGATTTATGGGTTGTATTTTTTTTTTGTATCTCTGTGCTCGCAAGAAAGCTTGATGATGGTGATGATGTTCACAGCGTTAGTTTTAATTTTGCTAATGTTTGATGTTCTGACGTTTGATGATCTGGGTCAATAATTGAGAGGGCAATGTTTGATGTTCGATGAATAATTTTTGATGTTTGATGAATAATCTTAATGTTTAATGGTTCAGAATCTGTGTTTGATGTTTGATGTTTGATTAATAATCCTAATGTTTAATGGTTCAGAATCTGTGTTTGATGTTTGATGTTTGATGAATAATCTTAATGTTCAATGGTTCAGAATCTGTGTTTGATGTTTGATGTTTGATTAATAATCCTAATGTTTAATGGTTCAGAATCTGTGTTTGATGTTTGATGTTTGATGAATAATCCTAATGTTCAATGGTTCAAAATATGTGTTTGATGTTTGATGAATAATCCTAATGTTTAGTGGTTGATGTTTGATGAATAATCCTGACGTTGCTAATGTTTACTGTTGGATGAATAATGTTTGATGTTTGAAAAGAAGGAAAATCATGAAAAGGCCTATAGTAAGTTTCTTGGGAAATAGGACCTATTAGTCTAACAAAAAACTTTCAGGACTAAATGGATTAACATTTCCAAATTTGGGATTTATTGGTGCGTTCCCCTTATTTCTATATTACATAATAAAAATTCACCCACTGAAATTTCACTCAGATAAAATTCATCATTTAAAAAATTTGAATTTTTTATATATAAATTTGAAATTAGGGACATAAAAAGTAGGAAGGCAAAAATGGGCCGCAGCCCGTAAGCGGTGCGCGAGCGATCCAAAACCCGCCTAAGGCCCCGAGTGGGCTCGGCCCATTTAGTCCCATTTGGGCCAAAGCCCGAGCCCAGCCCAAGCCCCTAAGCCAAGGCTTGAGCCACCATTTTGAAGCTTGGTTTAGTCCAGCAACCCCGCTTATGGCTCATTCAATGTCCGGCCAGAAACGCGGCCCTCCCGAGGTTCAGTATCTTTTTTTGTGAAAAATAAGAAAACTTTGGTAAAAAAAAATTTAAAAAGCAAAAAAAAAATGGTCAGGTCCGCCCATACCTAAAGCTAGGCCTAGGCCCACCGGGCCCCCAAGGCTCGAATACCCCTGGGCTAAGGCGTGAGCCTAATTTTTGCCCCGTGTGCTGACCCGGCCCGACTCAACCAGAATTTTGGCAAAAGCCCGCAAGACCCGACATGACAGCAAAAAAAAAATGGTCAGGTCCGCCCATACCTAAAGCTAGGCCTAGGCCCACCGGGCCCCCAAGGCTCGAATACCCCTGGGCTAAGGCGTGAGCCTAATTTTTGCCCCGTGTGCTGACCCGGCCCGACTCAACTAGAATTTTGGCAGAAGCCCGCAAGACCCGACATGACCCAAACCGGGTCAGATTTACACCTCTACATAAAAGTTAGTTCTGTAAATAATAAAAAAAATCAAAAGCACAAATTATTTTTATATAATTTTATTTAAAAAAATAAAAAATTAAATTAAATTTAAATATTTATTTTTCCCCCAATCTCAAAACAAAGACCACCATGTGAGTGAATGAGTTAGTTTAAGTACAAACACTCTCTCTGGTGCAACTATAAACCTCTCATCTCTCTATACATTTCTCTCTAAAACTACCAGCGTTCAAAAAACCCCGCCACCACCACCACCGCCGTGATCATGGGATGCACGGCGTCGAAGCTCAACAACGAGGACACCGTGCGGAGGTGCAAGGAGCGGCGACGCCTCATGAAAGACGCCGTCTTCGCCCGCCACCACCTCGCCGCCGCCCACTCCGACTACTGCCGTTCCCTCCGCTTCACCGGCTCCGCCCTCACCACATTCGCCGCCGGCGAACCCCTCTCCGTCTCCCACCACACCCCCGCCGTCCTCCTCCGCACCCCCTCTTCCCTCTCCTCCACCACCACCACCGCCATCCCGCCTCCTCCTCCTCCACAACGACAACCACAACCACAACCACAACCTCCTTCCTTCTTTCCCTCTCCCTCTCCCACCATCTCCGCCACCAGTGCCCCCACCTCTCGCCGCCACAACCACCACCGCAAACCCATCAAACTCCCTCACATTCTCTCCGAGTCAAGCCCATCTGCGTCCCCTCAAACCCACATCAACAGAGCTAAATCGAACGATTTCAATCCAAATTACGCATACAATGCATACAATGCAAATTCAACATTTTCGACCACTCCATCTCAAGCATCATCGGTCTGGAATTGGGAAAATTTTTACCCTCCATCTCCCCCTGATTCTGAATTCTTCAACCATCGCAACATCAACGACGATGACAAACCCTCAATCTACTCCTCTAATCGCCAAAAACACCACCGCCATGACCACCACATCGAGGTTGAAGATGATGAAGATGAAGAGACGGAGAGAGAGGAGGTTCAGTACAGCGAATGGGACGATCATTACAACACAACGAGCTCGTCCGAAGAAGACGATGGAGATGGAGATTCTAGATCTGAGATTGGGATTCAGTCCAATTTCGGATCCTCTGTCCGCACCGAATCGAAAGCTCCGCCTCCTGCGCCGCCACCGCCGGCGAAGAGCGATGTCGGCTCTTCCGCCTGCTGGAACCCCGCCGGAAACGGCGGCGGAGACTTGGAACTCGTCGTCCGGCACCGAGATCTGGAAGAAATCGTGGCGGCGATCAGAGAATACTTCGATAAAGCTGCATCCGCCGGCGATCAAGTTTCCGAGATGCTCGAGACGGGTCGTGCTCAATTGGACCGGAGTTTCAGGCAATTGAAGAGTACGATACCAAATTGATCATCCAAAGAGATTGAATTTCAAATCATATATTTATATATATATATTTTGTTGTTGTTGTTGTGAGATTGGTTTTAGTGTTGTTGTTGCAGAGACGGTTTATCATTCGAGTGGAGTGTTCAGTAACTTGAGTTCGAGCTGGACTTCGAAGCCGCCATTGGCGGTTAAGTACCAGTTTGAACCGGGTTCCATTGATGAACCGGGCGGCCCGAAGAGTCTGTGTTCGACTTTGGAAAGGCTCTTGGCTTGGGAGAAGAAACTCTACCAGGAAGTGAAGGTACTAATAACAATCCGATAATTGCTTTCTATCAACATTTGGATTCCAATTTGTGTGCACAATCAAAAGCTTTCTCAAAAGGTTTGGATTCTTTAGGCTTAGTGAGCCTTTTTGGGGTAAACCTCGTTCAGAAAAAAATTAAAATTATCGGATTTCAATAATTATATGTAAATAAATGAACGACAAATATAATTTCAAAAATAGTCATTCATTGCACACCATACTTTTTGTAAATTAACACCATTTTTTTCATTTGAATATCAATTCTGAATTGGGTTTTATGGATTTTTTTGTTGTGATATTCGAACAATTAATTTTTATTGAATATTGAAAAAAAAAAAAAAGTGTGAACTAAGAAGTTTTGTGGTTTGCAAATAGAAGCTACCATTGGATAGTCTTGGTCCGGTGTTGTGCAATGACAAAAATGTCCCTGAAAGATGGTGGGAATCATAGAGTGAAAATGTTGTGAATTTGAGGGTAATGGTGGTGATTTTGGAGGGTTTACACCATTGACCTAGGAAGAGTATCTTTTCACTGTTGTTCTGGGCTGTTTGGGTTCTCTGTGCTGTGGTGGTGAAATGACTGCAATGCCCTCTTTAACAGTTTGTCTGACAAAGATCAGTTTGTCACCTGTGGTGGTCTCCTGTGGTGGTCTCAAATTTTAAAAAAGGAGTGGAAGAGTCCAGGATGACATATAGATGTGTACTATTTTAGATGAAGAGTCCAGGATAACTGTACTAATTCAGAAAACAGGGTAAATCTTTAATTTTTAGAGAATGTTCAATATCAAACATGAAAAGCACCCATGTAATGATAATAAAAGGGTAAATTACACTTTGCCCCTAAAGTATTTTTCAATTTCCACTTTAGTTTTTAAAGTTAAAATTTTTTCATTTTAGTCTTTGAACTATTGAATTTTTCTCTATTTGGTTCGATTGCTAATTTCTGACCATTTTGCCTACTTAAATCTAATGTTGCTAAATGGCGTTAACCCAGTCCATACATTTGGCGCCACGTGGCCCTTTCTGTAAGCAAAATTAGCTATTTGATCAAATTGGAAAAAATTCAATGCTTTAAGGGGGTGAACGGGAAGTGCAATTTACTCTGATAGAAATGGAAGATAAAAAATTCTTGCACCTCTGCAATTTACTTATTTGTGACTACTATAATTCTTCCACTACTTTATTATACTTTGAGATTGTTGGGTTTTGTCTGCAAGTAAGTGCAAATTTCTCATGACAGTGCAACTTCAGATGTAACTACTCTAATTGACAACAAAGTTACAAAAGTAACTGCTTACAATTGAAGATGAGTTTGCGTTGTTGCATTTGATTGTATTGAGCTTTTACATTGCCATTCATGAATGCTAATATGGACATTGAATTGACAATGAATGTAGGCTAGAGAGGGTGTAAAAATTGAGCATGAAAAGAAGTTGTCATCCCTACAAAGTCAGGAGTACAGAGGGGGTGATGAAGCAAAGTTGGACAAGACAAAAGCATCAATAAAGAAGCTACAGTCACTAATTGTGGTCACGTCTCAGGCCGCTTCCACCACCTCTTCTGCCATCATTGGTCTAAGAGATGCTGAACTTATCCCGCAGCTTGTTGAACTTTGTCATGGGTAAGTGGTTTCTTTTATGATTTTCTGATAGCTTAGAATTAATTTGATGCACGCGGTAGGTGATGACATACTGCACAAATCGTCTCTATTGTACAAAATTGTCTTCATGTGGACATTTTTGTCAGTACACTCAGCACCACATCATATTGTGATTTGTAAATCTCATGAAGGTGAACTGAAAACCTTCCACTAGTCGTGTTTTCGTATTTCAATTTGAAATGGGGAAGCTTGATGATTGTCTTGGACAAATACAAGCAGCTAAAAATGATGGACATATTAGGACTTTTAATTCTCTTCTCCCAAGTTTCATATGGTTGTCAGAATTCCGAAGAAATTAAAATGGATTGCTAACTAGTTGTGTTTTCGTATTTCAATTTGAAATGGGGAAGCTTGATGATTGTCTTGGACGAATACAAGCAGCCCAAAATGATAGACGTATTAGGAATTTTCAATTATCTTCTCCCAAATTTCATATAGTTGTCAGAATTCCAAAGAAATTAAAATGGATTACTAACTATAGCTTTTTACGATTCCTTGTTTTATTTTTCTAAGATTACAATATTAAATAAAAAATTGTTAAGATAAAATTTCTTTCAAATTCAACTTTACTCGACTTCATACCTTGTTCAAGTCTCATATCTTTGAGTTTTAAAACCATGCCTCTTACCTTCTTTTTGCAGTTAATGCATTCTCATTGGATGAGTACATACATTGTTCAGATTTTGAGCTTTGGCATGTTCATTCTCTACAATGTGAAGTATAGTTGAGAATCCTCATGTTTTGTTCTTACACATGATTAATGGTTAATAGTGATCAACATTTTACGATTGGGCAGTAAATCATGACTGGTGAACGTTTTTTTGGCTGGGTTGCTTCCTTACTCGTGTAAATCGCGCTATTTTAGATTGCTACCTTGTACCAATGTTACGTAAAAAATTATGAAGGGTGATTCTGTATGTGGCTTGCAACTTGCTCCATCATGGTCCTCTCCTTGGCTCTGTCCACCCACCATCTGCTTCTCTTCAAAACAGACTGTGGCCCCAACTTGCTGTTGTTTTTTACTTTGATCTACAAACTTTTGGGCAATTACTGACCGTAAACTTAAACAAAAAAACATTGATGGTTGGACTATTGGGTTCGTTGGCTTTTACTATGATATGACCCACCATTGTGCTGTCTCTAGGTTAACTGACATATTGGTGGTATTATTATTAATTTTTGGTATTTAGTTATAGTACAGAATGATTGATTGGTGACTAAGAAAAGTGGCAGTTCAATTTTTCATCAAACATTCATTAACTTTAGATAAATGACCATAAAGTTATAGTTCATATGATGAGTTGGAAAGTAGAGTTGATTAGCCTTTTAAGTTGGCTAAAAGTCACTTTTTGACTTTTAATCTATTTTGAGTCACATCATATCTCTACTTTTTTATACGTTTTTTTTTTTTAAATAAAAAAAGTCAAAAAGTCAGCTTTTAACTTATTTCCCAAAACAAGCTGTACAACATTGTTGCCTGGCTATTTATGTTGCATGGACTCGAGTACAACTATTTGGCGTCAGCTCTTCTTAAATTTAAAATCTTAAGATACGGGGATATGCATCCAAACGTTGGGTATGGATCCATAGACACGTTTTCAACTCACATATGTTTTATATTTTATAATTTTTTTTTTGATAAGAAGTAAATTATTTTAAATGTACTTCAAATTAAGTAAGGCCTTATTTGTCATAACCTAAAAAAGTCAAAAAATTAAAAAGTCACTATCATATTTAAGTCACATCATCTTATTTAAGTCACATCACCTTTCTACCACATCACTTCAAATCCAACCCATACCCAACTCATATTTCATAAAAAGTCAAAAAGTACACTTATTTAGATCATTCCAAATCACTCCTAATGAAAATATAGAATTTATACATCTGATTCGAATGAGATGCTAGAAATGTTTATTTACTACAATTTATATATCCTATTCTAATGGATGCAGGTTCATGTACATGTGGAGATCAATGAACCAGTTCCACGAAGTGCAGAATCACATTGTGCAGCAAGTGCGCAGCCTCGTCAACAGATCAACCAAGGGCGAGTCTACCTCTGATCTGCATCGACAAGCAACTCGCGACCTTGAATCAGCCGTCTCTGCCTGGCACTCAAGTTTCTGCCGCCTGATTAAATTCCAACGGGACTTCATCTTCTCCCTCCATGGCTGGTTCAGGTTGACCACCATTCCCGTCAACAGCGAACCACCAACCATTGGCAACAGAGAACCCTCTGATGCATTCGCCTTCTTTGACGAATGGAAGCTTGCCCTTGATCGTGTCCCAGACACAGTCGCATCAGAAGCCATCAAAAGCTTCATTAACGTTGTCCATTCAATATCGATGAAACAGACAGAGGAGGTCAAGGTTAAGAAAAGAACAGAATCTGCATCCAAAGAGCTTGAGAAGAAGGCTTCATCACTTAGGAACATAGAAAAAAAGTACTATCATTCGTACTCTATGGTTGGTATCGGGCTTCCCGATACTGGGCCCGACACGGGTCACGTGTTGGACATGCGGGACCCACTTGCCGAGAAAAAATCCGAGCTCGCATCTTGCCGAAGGCGAGTTGAGGAGGAGATGTTGAGGCACTCCAAGGCAGTAGAGGTGACTAGAGCAATGACGCTGAATAACATTCAGACGGGCTTGCCGGGGGTTTTTCAGGCTATGACCAGTTTTTCGGCATTGATCATGGAGGCGCTTGAGACAGTATGCACACGGTCCTATGCTATCAAGTAAATAAAACACACAATAGTAAATATTCTTAACAATAATAGTAGCATTATATTTTCTTTTTTTTGGTTCTAAGGTAAGTTGAAAGTTAGAAGCATTAGCTCTTTGTTTTTTTTGGTTATTTGATATGTAGATATGTTGAATTTTGCGGTTGTCATATTTTTCTTTTTTTTGTTTTTTGTGGGAAGGAATAGGGAAATGGGGAGGGAAAGGGTATGTGTACGTACAGAAAATAGCCTGATTATTGTCTCAAAAGGTACACTTTTTCAGCAATGAATAAATGTATCTTTACCATCTTTATTATTAGGGGTAAGAACATCTTGAATGATAAATGCGATAATAGTATTGGTCTTATTATAACTTGACAATAAATAGTTGAAAATGACAGAATTATAGTAATGATGCTCTAATGGTTAGATGTCATTTTGGTAGAACCAAATACAGAAATTGTGTGTTTGGGACGACCGACTGGGCGGTCATTCCAAATATATCAATTTCTATGTTTGGTTTCGCAAAAATAGTGGCTTTGCAAAAATATATCTATTTTACAAGGTAGGGAGGGAGGTTTTGTTTAAGTTGGCACATATGGCAGTTTTGACACAAGTTTTGATATCTGTCAAATTTGGCAACTGCCATACAACACCGTTGGAGCATCATTTTTTTCACCAGCTGTCAAATTATAACAATAACAGTTTTAATGACAAATCATTAAAGGTGATCTAACTATTCTCTTTTCACTACCTTCTTATTTCTTCTTCTGACATTGCGTCAGTTGTCATCTCTCGGTCATGGACATGACCCTCCAAGGCTGTGTTGGGATCATGATTTTCTTTTCAAATGTCTATTTAAATTTATGATTTAAACATATCTTAATGATTTTTGTGTGTGAGAGAGACAGGGAAGATAATTGTCTCCACTGGTGTCCATCTGTAACGAATGTTGTTCATAAGCAAAATTTTCATATAAAAAAAACCAGGTGAGTCAAATAAATGTAACAATATGATTAGATCACATTATTTTCAAAAAAATAAAAATAAATAGCAAGTATGATTTTGAGAATGTAAAATAAGATTTGATCATTTGGTTACAATTATCCGATTAATTTATTATTTTGTATAGATGATATGCTTAAAAATCTTATAAGATGAGCGGTTTAACTCAACATTACAGTTTTTTTTTGTGTGTGCGTGAGTGGAGAAAAATACCTTTCATGGTATTAGTAATGCCATGCTGCAAAGTAAATTATTGGAATAGGGTTGGTCTCTTTTGGGATAATTTTGCTTTGAAGATTTGGTTTGTAATGCAGAATGATGCTTACATTCTCTTTGAAAAGCTGGCATTGTTATCAAATATTTATTTTCATTTTTTTTTTTTCATTTTTGTGTTTTTGGAAAGTAAAATTATATATTTTATTTATTTATTTGTTTTTGGGTGTACAAAAACAGTTTTTTAAAGTTCTCACTGTTTTACTTGAACCTGAAATGCGCAACCATTGGATCATATTTGTTGATATAGTTTATCCCAGTGAATGGAGCGAACTGGTCCAAGCTCCTCAAGCCCAAGCCCAAATAATCAAGCTCACCGGATAACCTGCAAACAAGTTCAACGGGGAACGGGGTAGTCCCCAGTGAACCCTCCGACGAGCAAGTTAGGAAGAGAAGTAAAGTATATGGGGAGAGATTAGAGATAGAAAGCTTAACTTTTTTCTTGTCTTCAACGTTCGCTTATATCCATTGGCAATCATTTCGCTGTCCCTTCCGACCTGCTCTCTTTGCCGAAAGCCTATGCTGTAACTTACCTTGCTCAGGGTAAGGGAGTCCTGTTCCGGTGAAGAGGTGTTGTCGTAATAAATGCTGTGATGGGCTGCATTAATGGTGATGTGTAGTGGCAATAACTTTGCAGATCTTTGTCTGCTGATGTGGCTCATCATTCTCTTGCCGTGTGTCTGAATGTCATTGGCTCTTTATGCCATGTTGGACTCTAGCTGTCCTGGACCTCACCAGCTGGGTTATGCATTGGGCTTCAAGTGATGGGCCATAGATGATTTGTGGCCTTTATGGGCTTATACATGTCAGTAGTCCCCCATTCCCGAGTGCAACTTTAGTCCAACGAAGGGAATATTAGTGACGTAGATGGGTGTGTTAGGGATTGGCAGGATGGAGGTCGACCGGAAGGGGTGATCGAGGGGGGTGAACCGACCGGGAGGTGGTCCGACTGCGCAGGGCGACCGAGTGGAAGGGCCAATCACGGAGAGGACCGACCGCAAGGTTGGCCAAGTGGGATGGTCGACACCAAGGAGGGTCGACCGCGAAGGGTGGGCCAACCGCGGTGGTTGGCCGAAAGGGAGGGCCGACCGTGAGGAGGGCCGATGGCGGTGTTGGCGGAGAGGGAGGGCTGACCACGAGGAGGCCGACCGCGGCGTTTGGCCGAGTGGGAGGGCTGACCGCGAGGAGGGCCAACCGCGGTGTTGGCCGAGTGGTATGGTCGGCAGCAAGAAGGGCCGACTGTGAAGGGTGAGGTGGAGGGGCGTGGGGCTCGAGACGCGGTGTGTCACGTGGTGAGTTTAAATGGAAAAGACAAGGTAAGGGAAGGAGACAGTGGATCGTGGGCGTACACATGGCAACATCCCGGAGGGGGGGAAGATTAGGCATTGGATCAGAAATGAAACGGTAAGTCATTATGGGTGTTGAAGAGACAGTTTTGGCAGATGATTTTGAAACGTTTTCAAACTGGCGAAAATTAATTGGGATCCTTGGAATACGGGCAAACCGTGGGCTTTTGGCATTATTCGATTCACCTACCTATTTACGAAAAATCAAAATATTTCAAGTGTGAATTCCTTTGTTGCTCACAATACACCTCTGCAACACTTTTTCGATTGCCTTGTTCCTGCCGCCGAAACGATTCGCAAACAAACCACAGAAATGGCCCAAGAAGGGAATACGATTGTCAGGGTGGACCCACTTAGAGATGACGATGCTGTGGAGCTAGCGACGCAGTATAAGACAGAGAGGGTGGGGGAGTCAGTGGTACGATCCCACGGTTCCACCATAATAGCAGCTCCAAAGCCAATCAGCCAGGCAGAACCAGATCATTGGCACATGAAGGCTGACAAATCCACGATTACTGAGGCGGAGTTGGAGGCTATCCGCGAAAAATACCAGATCCTTGGAGAAGTGGAGTTATTACTGCCGACATCAACGGAAATGCTGTCTGACGCCAAGCCAGGAGAGTTTTCCCTTTATGAGGAAGCTTTAAAGGGTGGACTGAGGTTGTCACTGCCGCAAGTGGTGGATGTGCTTAACCGTCTGGAGGTAGCACCGAGCCAACTAATGCCCAATGCATGGAAGATCCTGCTGGCCTGTGCAAGTGCGTGGCCGAAGGCAAATGGAGGGGAGGCCATGACGGTAGACGAATTCTTTGCATGTTATAAGGCTTCGGGGCAGCAGGAGACGTGGCTCACTCTGCAGGCAGCAGTGGGGAAGGGGTTGGTGGCGGGGCTGCCGTCGTCGATCAAGGGGTGGCGACCGCGATGGTTCTATGTATCTGCCAATGAGGGGCTTGGAGCGCGCACCGTTTGGAAAGTACCCATCAGGTCTGTGGAGCCGAAACTGGGGGCAGCTGCAGAGGGGAGGGTGAAGAGGGTGAAGGCGTGGAGGGAGAGAGAAGGAGCCAAATGGGACGAGCTCGTTCAGCCGTCGGCATTGTTTGAGGCGGGGGTGGGTCCAAAGCCAGGTAGTGGGGACCTCGACCGAGCAGAGTTGGAGGCAAGGAGAAGGGCTCAAAAGGCGGAGGATCAGGTCATCCTTGCTAAAGCCCAACAATTCAAAGAGTCCCAGGCCGACTGACCACCAAAACCAGTTGTGAGGAAGAGGATTCGACCTCGCCCCAAACCCTTGGGAGGGAAAAACTTAGGAGATTTTGTGCCGCGGCCACCCCCAACAGACCCTTTAAAGGAGAGGTCCTTGAAGGAGATGGAGGCGTTGGGCGTGGGGAAGAAGAAGAAGAAGAGGGTGAGTCGGAGTGAGAAAGTGCCTGCCCAGAAGAGGAGGAGGGAGGCAAGTGTGAAGGAAACCAGTGCGGCCGAGGGGGCTGAAAGGAGAGATGTAGAGGGAGTCCCAAGAAGGGTAGGTGGCCTAGAAGTAGCGGATGTTGCCTCAGAGAGCATGGAGGTGGTGCCAGTGGTGGCGGCGATCGCCGCAGGGCTCGCAAAGGCCGCCTCCGAAAGGCAAGTGGAGGATGAGGCTGCTGGGCCTGGGCCAAGGAGGGAGGAACAGTCCCAGGGGGGTCTTGCAGCTCAAGAAGGAGAAGTCGATGCGACCACGGCGATCTACCATGCTCGTGCGGTGGAGGGGCGGCTGGAGGAAGAAGAAGGCCCAACCAGGGCAGGGGCAGACCGCCTTGTAGGGATTGTAGAAGAGGCAGCCTTGCACTCGGCCTCCAGATTCAACGAGGCTGACTGTTAAGGGGGTTATACTCTGCTCAAATGGAGGTAACCACCTTAGCAGGGGCCCTGCTGAGGAAGGCGGGGGCTGCCAAACTCAAGGCAGATGAGGCCAAGGCTCAGCTTGCAAAGTTAAAGAAGAAGAGTGCAAGTTGGAAGAGTGCCCACACTGAGCTGCAAGCGGTTAAGGCGGAGCTGGAGGACACACGCCGCCAGGTTGTGTCGCTCGAGTTCCAACTTGCTGGCGAGCAGAAGAAGTTGGACGAGGCCCAAAGAGCCTGCGCCGTCACGGTTGAGCGACATGAAGAGGCTATGAGCAGTAATGAAGAGCTGGTCAGGCTAAAAGATGAGGCTGATGGCAAAGTGGGCAATCTCCAGAGGGAACTGGAGGGCGAGCGCGCCAAGGCGGTGGAGGAGAAAATGAGGCTTCAGAGGGAGTTGGAAGCAGAGAGAGTGCAGGCGACGGCAGAGAAGGAGAGCCTGAAGAAGGAATTGGAGGTGGAAAAGGCAAAGGCGGTGTCGGAGATGGAAGCCCTGCAGAAAGAGCTGGACGAAGAGAGGGCAAAGGCTGCCTCTGAAAGGGTGGCTTATCCTGATCTGTGCGTCGCAGCAGTGGAGCAATTCAAAGGGTCTGCCGAATTTCAGACGGCGGTTGATGCCGCAGTCGCGAGTAGCCTGGCTAGGCAAGAATCTGGGGGGACGGGCCCATCGAGGACGACCGCTGGAGGCAGAACTGAAGCAGAAGTTATTGAGAGCTTCCAGCAGTCAGACTTTTATAAGCACGAAATGGCTGAGTACTGGGACAGTGGCTGGAAGATGTTCAAACGTAGAGCTGAAGAGTTGTTCCCAGACTTAGACCTTAGTA